GGGACATATAAAAATTATGGTAGAGGCGGAAGAGGCAAGACAGAAGTTAAAGAAGATGGGCTACTCAGAATCCCGGGGTGATTCGGGATCTTCTAAGAAATCTAGGGGTTCATCTTCTAAGACTGTTTTGAATCAGGGATATCGTGGGTGTGTAATTGAGGTCACTAGTCATCGACTTCCATTCAGCTTTGAGTTGTTATATATGTCTGATTTTGATGTCATTCTCGGCATAGATTGGTTGTCCTCCTACCGTGCCATCATAGACTACTACCATAGGAGAGTTACTGTATGTACGTCGGGTGATGATTGCTTCTCTTTTCTGGGGGATAACACCGACGGATCGTTGCCTCCATTATATAACCCACGTGGTCAAGGTGAACTTAACTCTCTTCTGACAACCTTCTTAAATGATAGAAGTGGTGGGGTTCGAGATGCATTTCCCAGAGTGGTTTGTGAATATTCAGATGTCTTTCTTGAAGATCTCACCAAATTACCGCCTCACTGGGAGGTTCAGTTTTCTATAGACTTAGTGTCGGCTATGGCACCTATTTCCATGTCCTCGTATAGATTTGCACCAGCTGAGTTAGTTGTCCTCAAAGAACAATTACAAGAGTTGTTAGATAAGGGCTTCGTACCCCTAGTATTTCACCTTGTGGAGCACCGGCCCTATTGCTAAAAAGAAAGACGGTTCATTGAGATTGTGTACAGATTATCGCAAACTGAATCGAGTTATGATTAAAAATAAGTATCCCTTGCCTAAAATAGATGACCTCTTTTTATATATGCCACAAATTCAAGTTGGGGCTTTTTCGTCATTGCAAGCATTAGACTCAACCGTTAGAATGAGTTCTACGCTTTTTATATATGTTATAGGTGCGTTTTTTTATATATGTTATAGATTAGATCCACTATGACATAAAAAGAAATGTACAAGATGAAGAGTTTCAATAAAATATTCCATTGAAATACATAGTTGTGGAGTAGTTTATATAAGTTGTAAGGAATGCAATTTAAATGAAAATACTCTTGTATGCTTTTCTTTGGACATGGTAACATATGAATGAATTTATGATCCGTGTCTAATGACAAAAATAATTTGACAAAATATATACTCATTGAGGGGGGGGGGGGGGGAAACATAAGCACACAATCAAGCTGACATCGCTGACATCACGAATAGTTCCATATCACAACCACTCAATCTACTTTTACAACAACATTATCAAATATTAGCCCAAACTTTGTGCATGGCTACCTTAAGAACCACTTCATTATTTCAACATTACCATAAGTTACAATAGCAATAATGGTTTTCTGACTCAACCTGCAACAAGGATTTAGAAAAAAACATGTGAGCTCCAGTGTTTTGTTTATAAGAAGTTGGGAAAATGATGAGGCAATTGAAATCACAAATAAAATGCATGGAATCATTCAGATTATACATATTAAAAAAATGCATGAAATTTAAGATATTATTGATAATGGGCAAAAAATTCAAGTTCTATTTAAATAAATAAATAAAAATAAAAATAAAAAAAGAAGAAGAAGATAGGCAACATATATTCAATTTTGACATGTGTGACACTCCAATCCCATATCAGATATCAGATAGATATTGATAGTCTGATCATCCATATATGGAATAGTCCATTCTCAACAATGTGAGGTCCTATGTGAGATACCATAAAGATAAAACCGTGATGGTCCATGGACCCAAAGCATACAGTGATAGTCTACAAACCCAAAGCGTACAATATCAATATCACATAGATGGTGGGGACGAATTGTTACATCATGAATGATATTTAAAGAATTGAGGTTTTGTTTATTTTAATTTTAAATTTAGTATTTAAAAATTAATAAGACAATAGAGAGCCTTTAGCAAATCAATCAATACAAACAAAACACATATAGAGTCATAGTTATAAACCATAATCACCGTGTCAGTCCACAAATTATCATTGGCCAATATTCAAATAGGGTCATGAAATGGGGCTTTTAGGTCACGAAATTCACTAGAATAACTTTCATTTTATTTTTCTTTTGTCATTAGATGTGGCATGGAGATTGCTACTATGACTTGCAAATAAACATTATAGATTGCAAGGATAGCTTGGTTCTTCCCTTCAATTCTATAAGACCATATTTGTTTAAGCAGATTTATGGGATTAGCATTCTTAGGATAGTACTAAGATTATTTATTCTTTTAGATTGTGTATTATATCCTATGTTTGGATTGATACTAGATAATACGATGAGTTTGATAGTCCAAACCTCTCCCTAATCCTCCATTTTGTATGAGGAATACGTATGTCTTTACGCATTTTATTGAATTATTAGTCTAAACGCATGCCCAAGTCTGTCCAAACAAACATGCCCTAAATGTAAAACTAGCAAGCACTTGGAACTTTAGCTAGTGTTTGATTCAGTAGAATAAATGTTGGAATGGTGTGATTATTCCATCGAAATAATTATTTTGAAATTTGATTTGGTAAAAAAGAAAGAAATGTGTATTGCAAATAAAATTACTATTCACCAATTTAGAAAAAGGATATAAATGACAATTTTATTCCTTAAAATATGTGTTTCCTGTCATTTTAATCCCTCAAATTTTAATTTTATAATTTGATCCTCAAAATTGTCAATTTGAATCAATTTGGTTATAGGTCTAATGTTCATCTACGTTGATAACAGAAATATCAGTAAAAGACAGTTTTAGTCCCAAAGTATGTATTTCTTGTCATTTTAGTCCTTTAAGTTTCATTTTTATCATTTTGATTTTCAAAATTGTCATTTTGAGTCAATTTGGTTCTAGGTCTAATGTCCATTTATATTGACAATGGAAATATTGGTAAAAGATAGTTATAGTCCCAAAGTATGCATTTCTTATCATTTTAGTCTTTAAGTTTCAACTTTATCATTTTGGTTTTCAAAATCAAAATTATCAATTTAGTCTTAGTTCAAATTGACAAAATTGAAGACCAAAATGATAAAATTGAAATTTAAGGGAATAAAATGACAAAGACGCATATTTAATTAGGGATTAAAATTGTCTTTTATCTAAAAATAAAATACTTTTCCCGTAATCAATGGAGACAAACGTTAGAGATATATAGGACTAAATTGACAACTGTAAAGACTAAATTGACAAAATTAAAACTGAAGGAACTAAATGAAAAGAAAGAAACATATATTTTAGAGACTAAAGTTATCTTTTATCCTTTAAAAAATGACTATTTTATTGACTGATCAATAAATAATCATTCTATACTACCCAAAATCTTTCCAGTCAACCAAAAGCTATCTTAGAGTTGAAGTATGATCGGTGAAGTGATGTCAAATGAACTAATGTCATCTGTGCCGACAGTTGGGTTAAGGTAGGGGATATGAGTGCAACACATTTACTTAGATATGCAGTCTACAAATATTTTTAAGTTAAAGAGTTAACTATACTAAACTATACATAAATCTTAATTGGGTAAATTACAATATACCTCCTGATATTTATTTATAATATGAATTGTTCTTTTTTATTTTAGAAATTATATGTATTCTCTAATTGAAAAATTATATTGAAAAATAAAAATTGTAATTATTATTCTATACAATAATAAAATTACCCGAATTTTTAATTTTAATATATTTATAATATTATTAAAAACTGTTAATTAACTTGATAATTTATTAACAAGAATAAAAGAGAATTATTTGTTATGCAATTAAAAAGTTGAAGGAGCAAGATGTAATTTTTAAACCTATAATAACAATTTGTATTTTAAGCAAATTACAAATGGTGCATTTGTAATTTACCCAATCTAGTTTTATGAATACAAAGCTCAATGTAAGAACTATAAAATTTATACATGTCCTCCTGTCATTCGGGATGAGAAATAGGTGAATCCGAACCTTCAACACATACTTGTAACCGATATCCATATTTGAGTCTATGTAAATAGAATTACAAAAAACAAGAAGAAAAAAAAGAAATGGGAGATAACACCTCCTTCATAGGATTGTGCCTTTTGGGACCAAAATTGTTGCATCTTTTCATTCAAATATATTATGCATATAATACATGTATCTGAACATTACTAAAAGGTGGAAAATGAGGTGAATTATTGGTCTCACGCCAAAATATGATAACCCTTGAATTGGCAACATTTATGGGTCAACTATGAAGATTTCCAAAGTCAACCAGACATAAAATATTACAGCCAATCAAGATGATCAAGATGTATAGCATAAATTGAGGAAAACAAGATTGTAGTAATCTAACTATTTGGCAAAATATATCAAGATTGACCAATAGAAAATCCAATAATACAGTTTATTTCAGTACAAAACTAGCTTTTGAAACTAACTACATTAACATTAGCAATGGTTTAATAGCTAATCATAGAAAAACGTATTTTTTATTTTGGTTTTGGTTGTTATCAAGGAAACAATTCTATATGTATTACTGCCGGTTCTTGAGTGAATTGCTCATATTGTTACTCTTGCACAAAAAGAGCTACGTGTGCATTAGGCAGGATCCTAAGCAGAATATATATAATAATCTTTTACTTATTCTATAATTAGATAGTAAACTTTTAAAGATATAGAACTAGAAAAAAGCAACAAGTACCATGAAGTTAAGAGAGTTTAATACAATCATGATAACTAACAAAATAAAATCATTAAAACTAAGAATGAGCATCACATACCTGAAAACATAATCCCTATTTGCTAATTTCTTCTGCCACCTTGTCTCAACATTTTCACCTTTTATGCTTCAACAATTCTTACAAACAATTTTGGTTTTCCAATTAAGAACATGAGAAATCCAATAACCAATCCCAATGCCGTTCCACACCATACCCCATCACCACGGCTTCCCAAGTAAATCCACTTACAAAATTTGACTCATCTTTCTGCTGTCATAGCACCCCTGGCTGAACTTGTGCTTCATTATCTTTACATTTCTCTCACAATAGAAACCCGCATAATCTCAAGTTCCCAACTTATGAATCATTTACAAATGTATCAAATTGTTCGCCTTGGGGTATGGGTCCATCAAGATGGTTGCATGAAAGGTTAAAGACCTCAAGAAATGTCAAACTCTTTAATTGGTTAGGAATTTTCCCAATGAGCTGGTTTGAAGAGAGGTCTAGTGATTCAAACTCTGTCAAGTCTCCTAAAGAAAATGGAATAAAGCCCGTAAGGCTATTATGAGATAAATTAAGCACTATGAGAGAATTAAGCCTTCGGATGACATTTGGAATATCTCCATTGAATTTGTTAGATGATAAATCAATTGTTATGAAGAGAGTAAAAATTCCCGTTAAAGAAATATATGACCCCTTCATTGTCACTGCAATAGAAGCTTGATAATACGATCCAAAACTCAAATATTTTTCATTTGGCATAGTCTTATTCCTCATAGCTTTGAAATGTTTGAAATATCTCCCCGACAAATGGCCAGTGAACTTATTGTGGGAGAGGTCAACAATTCGAAATTTGGGAAAAGAGAGGTTTGGCTTAGAATTGTCTATTGGACCATGAAATTTGTTGGATCGCAAGACAAGAACCCGTAACTCTGGCAGTGACCTCAACCAGTATGGAAAAGTGTCATTTATCTTGTTGTTTCCGAGGTCTAGAACTTGTAACTGTCTACAATTGGTTAAGGATCGTGTAACTGGTCCTTCAAACTGATTTCCATTCAAATTAAGAATTTCCAACTGATTACCCATTCCAAACATCATGGGGATGTTCCCCTAAAAGGCATTGAACCGCAGATCTAATACATAGAGAACGTTGTTTAAGTATCCCAAACATTGTGGAATTGCACCACTCAAGTGGTTGTGAGACAAATCAAGGATGTAAAGGAAACTCGCATTACAAATTGAAGAAGGAATCTCTTCGGTGAGTTTATTTTGTGAGAAGAAGAAGTAAAGTACAGAGAGTGGTGGAACTGGGAGTTGTCCTTGAATCAAGTTGGAACGAAGATCAAGAATCTCAAGATTCTTCCAAGGAAATTGGTTTATAGCTGTTAGAAAGTTGTGGGAAAAGATTTAAGTGCCACAATGAAGCCTTCCCGATGATGCCAACCCATTTTGGAATCTTCTCATGAATTTCGTTGTTGGAAACGTCTAGTTGTTCAACATTCTCTAAGGCTTTAAAGAAATCAGGAAATTCCTTTATCTTGCAAAAAGTCATATAGAATGACCTAAGCTTAGGCAAGGTATTATTGATATTGTTGATTGTGCTCACTGAAAGACTATTGTATGAAAGATCAAGATAATCGAGATTTTTTAGATTTGTGAATGTTCGTAGCTCCACAACATCACTAAAATTATTTGGCGAAAAATCATGTTGGGTCAAATTCACAAGATTTGAAATTGATTGTAGAATGGGGCCATATAGTTCATTATGACTCAAGTCAATGCTCATCAATTTTGATTTATGCTAGAACTCAGGAATTTGGTCGTTAGTTGATTACTACTCGGGTCTAATTTTGTCAATGATGGAAGATTCAACAACCAAGATGGTAGTGTCCCATTCAGTGAGTTATTGTGCAAGTGAAGTGTTTGTAGGTTGTGTAGCCCACTAAAATTAGGAATTTTCCCATCAAGATTATTTTCAGAAAGATCCAAAAGAGTGAGCTGATTAAGATTTGTGAGAGTAAATGGGATCTAACCATTGAAACTATCAGTGATCTGTTTAAGGTTCCCAAGCAATTTAGGAATGGACCTGGAGAATTTGGCAACTGGTGAGATTCAAGGAATTCAAAGGCTTGAGATAGCCAATTGAATCAGGTAATTCTCCAGAAAAACTCGAAGACACGAGATTCAACATCTTGAGGGAACTACTACTACTCCAATTTACTTTGGGTAAATTACCAGTGAGATCAAAGTTGACTCCTAAAGAGAGAATTTACAAGTTTGGAAGGTGAAAAATGATATCCGGTAATTTTCCATGCAACCCAATGAAACTAAGATCCAGATATGTCAAAGAAGACATATTCGTCAAAGTCATCAGTACAACTGAAGATATATCTACAAAAGAAAGGACAAGTTCTTGCAATTGGGTTAGGTTTTTGAGCATCGTTCTGAAATTGTGCGGTTCAAGTCTTAGTTGGCTACCATAGGAGAGATCGAGTGAAACTAGTTTGGACAGGGTGAATTTCTGATGGGATTGAGCCTAAAAAACTGGAATGAGATAGGTTGAGATGTGTCAAATTGGCAAAGTGACCAAATGCTGATGGAATGTGGAAGTAATTGAAGTGATTGAAGGCGAGATTGAGGTGCTGTTAGGATGAATTTCAAATTTTGCAACATCATATCAAAATATCAAGTAAAATCCATAAGAACGACACTTTACCAAGCATGACCAACGTAAAGTTCCTATGGTTAAAGTGCCAGTATGTTGTAGTATTCCTATCAAAATGTCAAACAATATTATCATACATATCAACTGATGTATCAAGATGTCAGCCTATTTCGACATGTTGATATCAGTACTACAATGTTGGCCAAACTTTGTTGCAAAATGCTTGAAACTGCCAGTAAAACTTTCCACCAAGAATAATAATCCAACACCATCATGACCAAATTACTCATTAGATCATATAAAATATTTAGTTACCAACAAAATTTGCAAACTAAAGCAGCCCAGCTTTTCTATTCATATTGATTGGAACAATGAAGTAAGGTATTCTAAATATGAAATTTACTCACTGTGCCTAAAAAAAATTATCCAACGGCAACCAGTGTCACCAAATAATTATTCATGTAAAAATACAATTATAATGTGTATATACGTAATATGCACTCCCATTTACTCAATCAAAGAAAGTATCAGTTCCTTATTGAAGTTTTAATCATGTTATAAATCAATCCCATTCCCCCTCTTCCCTACAGCTGGTTCAAACCCATAACTACTCCGACCAAACAGCACCATAATTGCAGAGTTTAATTGTCCCAATAAACTCACATGTCGGCATTCAAATATTTTATTGTGATGTTGAAAACAACTGCATGAAAGCTATAACAGTCAACATATCTTACCATCAAGCAATTGGTTCCAACAACATCATGTTGAATTCTCCTGGTTAAATAAATTTTGAAAAAGGCCCGTGCACATATCCATAAGCAACAGTTAAGTGAAATAGAAAGCTATCTAGATTTGGAAATGGCAACTACTGACGCGCAAACACTGACTAGTAACCATCTCTAAGACCACTAAATTTCTCTTGCCCTACAGTATCCTAGCAATAAAATCGGATTTTCCCACAGTTTGTGAAGAAGTCCAAAGGGTGAACTTCGACACCAATGGTTGCTGTTTAAAACAAGGGTAAATTACACTGACACACCTTGAAGTTTATGTTTATTACAGTTCTCTCCCTCACCTTTTGGAAATTACATCTTCGTCCCTGAGGTTTAAAGTTTCATTACAGATTCCCCCCTCAGTAATTTAATTTTTTTAAATACCAATTTCATTACAGATTCCCCCCTCAGCAGTTCTCTCCCTCACCAATTTTTTTAAATACATTGACACCCCTCACATTTTAGAAATTACAATCCCCTCCCTAAGATTTAAAATAACATTACCAATTGCCCCCTCGGTTAGTATTTGAAAAATCTAGAAATCCCCTAGATGTTGATTTGTGATTATGTATCAATTTTAAGCAGAATATAACAATCCCAATCAAACAATCAAGACAAAGAAACACAACGATTTTGACGTGGAAAAAACCACAATTGGACACCTCCAACTGTGATTAAAAAACCACGGGCAACAGCCACAAAACAATCCACTAAGAAGATTTAAAGGAATTACACAGGTATAATCTCAATTACCTAGCGAATCTACGCCTAATTGAACCAACCTCTATGTGCCTCTTCCAACCCGTCTTCACCTCGGAATTGTCTTTACGATGAGCCACCCCGGAATCCACCAAAGCTTTAGGCTCGAATTCTTCAGAATCCACCGAAGAACAACTCTCTCTTTTGTAGAACAAACAAAACCTTTGATGTATACTCTTTAAAACATAAGTTGAATATTCAATCAAAACATCAAAGAAAACTCACAAAGTATCCCCAGATATAAACCCTAAAATCCAAAAAGAAGATCTGGAGTAGTGATCCTAAAATCTGACCCAACATGCGAATTTATAGAATCTGTCCCGCGATCTCCGCTCTAGCGCCCAACAGCCCGTTAGAGCGTCTTCAGTAAAATATGCGCGTGATATAACAGAGGTCCGCTCGAGCGCTAGAGAACCCGCTCGAGCGCGAAATCACACATCTCAGTACTTTTGCAGGCGACCAAAACTGCTGGAACCAGGGATTCTCCGCTCGAGCGGGGTAATGTTCGCTCGATCCCTGTCATAATCAGCGAAGTGGCAATCTTGAAAACATTAGCATCACAAACTTCTCTGAAAGGCACAATTCGGGTTGGATTCGCATCTAAACTCTCATAGCCTCACTGAAATAAAAAGTGCGAAAATAAATACAACTGAAAGGAGTTTTGTCAAATGACGTTGCCAAAAATAAAACCTAACAGTATTAATTGGAAAAAAAATTCATCGAAAAAAAAAATTAATTGAAAAAAAAAATTGTTAGTAAAATTTTTAAATTTCTGTTTAAAAACCAACATAAACTCATTTTTTGAATTTACATTTTTCTTCAAATTTACAAACTGAGACAACAATTTATAAACCAAAAAAATTATCAAACAAGTTTTTATGACAATTTTTAAAATTTTTGTAAATATAAACTGAAAACTGAAAATGAAATGGTTACCAAACAAGCCTCAGATGATAAAAATGTCTTAAAATTAATAAAATAAGTTACCAACGTAACAAATGACTTATCAAAAGATTCTTAGGCTATGTATGGTTTGATTTTTTTTTAAAAAAAATTAAAAATTAAAAATTAAGAGGCCTAAATTCAAAAAATGAGTTTTTGTTGGTTTTTAAACAAAAATTTAAAAATTTTACTAACAAAAAATTTTTTCAATTATTTTTTTTCAAATAATTTTTTTTCCAATTAATTTTTTTTTCAATTAATTTTTTTCCCGACTAATACTAACCAATGGAGCAATTGGTAATACTACTCTAAACCTTAGGGAGGGAATTGTAATTTCTAAAATGTAAGGGATGTCAATATAATTTACCCAGTGAGGGCAAAAATGGTATTTAAAAAAATTAAATTCACTACAACAAAAGTAACCTATGGTGACGAAAACTAGTGAAGAAAATAAAATTCGTCATTAAATGAAAATAATTCGTGAGGAATTTATAAATTTTGTCACATATAATAAAAAAATAAAAATGATAGGTGACAAAATTTATTTTCGTCAATAAATACTTCATTTTAAGTGAGGAAAAATTAAGTTTCGTCACCAAAAATTTTCTTGCTATTTTTTTTGGGTGGCGCCAAAATTTTGAGACTTTTGGTGACAAAAAAATTTGTCACTAATTATAAAATTATTTGTGATGAATATATTTTCGTCACCAAAACGTTTTAATATTTCTGATATCTTTTGGTGAGGAAATAATATTGTCACCAATTTTGGTGGAAAATTTTTGATATATTGAGCTGCAATAAAAAAAAAGAAAGGGGTATTAATTTTTTTTACCCTTTTTTCTGTTTATCATCTCTCTCTCTCTCTCTCTCTCACACACACACACACAAAATATGGTATTAATTTGTCTTACCTCTTGTTTCTCCACCACGCCGATCGCCATCGTCGCCTCTATTAGTCTTGCAGATCGTCACCGCCAGTAGCAGCCTTGCCGGTAACGGCCACATCTTCTTCGCTCGATGATTTGGTACATGATTTCTCTTTGCTCTTTTTCTAGTGTCTCTTTCTCTTATTCTCTGTTTTGGTATGGTGACAAAAATTAGTGAAGAAAACAAATTTCGACACTAAATAAGAATAATCCATGAGGAATTATAAATTTTGTCACGTATAATAAAAAAAAGAAAAATAATAGGTGACGAAATTTATTTCTGTCAATAAATACTTACTTTTATGTGAGAAAAAAAAAAGTTTTGTCACCTAAATTTTTCCCACTAATTTTTTTTTTTTTTTATGGTGCCAAAATTTTGAAAGTTTTGGTGAGAATTTTTTTTTTCAATAATTAAAAAATTATTAATGAGGAATATATTTGTGTCACCAATAATCTATTTTTTTTTTTTTTTTGAAAAACTTGATTTTGAATATTTTAAGACCATTTGGTGAGAAATATATTTTCGTCACTAATAATTTTTAATATTTTTAGGCTTTTTAGTGAGAAAATTATTTTGTCACCAATTTTGAAAGAAGAATTTTGACATATTACGTGGTAATGAAAAAAAAATCTATTATTTTTTCTTTTCTTTTTTTGCCTAGATTTTTTTCCCCTCTATTTTTTTTGGATCAATTTTATTTTTCCCTCCTTTTTTGTTTTATTATTTTTTTATCAATCTTCGTATCAGTTTCTATCTCTGTCTCTCCCTCTCAAAACAAACTGACGAATCAGTTTTCCTATCAATCTCTATCCCTCCCCCTCTCCCTCTCCCTCTCCCTCTCAAAACACAAGTGCTGTGTGTTCTTCTCCAACGCCCCTTTAATGTGTTCTTCTCCAGCGTCGTTGCCAACATCCCTGTTCTCCTCCTTCAGTGTCGCCATAGATGTCGTATCTCCTTTACTATTGTGTGTTCTCTTCCATCAGGTATGGGTCCTCTTTCTCTCTCCCTCTCTCCCTCTCTCTCACTCAATTTCTCTATTTCTTTATCTTTGTTTTCCCTAATTTTCAAAATTAATTTTCATAATTAATGTTGTATTTTATTCTTTCCAGCAAGGTTTCTGCTATAAACTTGAGAATGAATGTCCTATTGATTATAATTAAGAGTTTGAATTTAGTAAAAACCCTTGACTAAATGTAAATATTTTATATGATTTGGATTGTTTGTCTGTATTTTTAATAAAATTAGGGTTCTACTCCTCTCTCTATTTGAATGTTTGTTTAATATCTGTTTATTTTATAGGTTTTTCTACTTAGGTTATTCATAAAAAAATAAAATTGATTACTTACGTCATGATATCGATCGATTCCTTTGCTTCTGTGATCATCCTCCTGATTCTTCTTGGATACCATGCCTGGCTATTTTGAGGATCCTTGTACATGCCTGATGCTCTGCTACTGCAATTATTTCTTGTCTTTGTTTTAGTTGGTTGTGGGCCTCTTCTCTTTATTTTTTTATTTTTTTTCAGATTGTGTATTTTTTTTTTTCTTCAAATTGCTGATATAGTTCTGTACCCATTACATATTACGTTTTCTGGAATGGAGCTTAATTGGAAAGCTGTATGTGAGGATGAATAGAGAAAAGATTAAAAGAGATCTATTTTCTAGAATGGGAGGTCTAGGGACTGAAATTTGAAATTTTGTTGCAATAATTATTTTTCTTTAATTTTGAAAGATGGACTGTCGAATTTGAAATTTAATTAGATATATTCGGTCTTTGTAAGAACCATTTGAATCAAGTAGTGTCCCAAATACTAGTTGCAACTGAAAAATTCGAAAGCTTTTCTTTGTGGTGATGATGCCAAAATATCAAGTTGGTTTAGTTGTCTTGTCTTTATCTTGATCATGGTCCTTAGAGGCCTGTCCGCATCTACGTGCTCTTTAAATTGTAACACGTTTTGATTCTCTTAAAGCTTAACAATGATTCTGTTACTTAAAATTAGTATTTTTATGGTTGATTGTGTTAAATTTTTTCCCCTAAGAAAATTACTTTTGTTGAACTTTTGTTTTTAAAGTTCACATGCTTGATTTTCACAAGCCTGCTATGTTTGGTTGTTCAACTACTATTTAATTTTGTGTCTTTACAGATATCTTTTCTATACTATTTCACCCTCTTAATATTGCTTTTATCTTATCCTGGATATGAGTAAGTTTGAATGTTGTCAGCTTTTGTATTAATTTTATTTCAATATTAATCATACTTAATTTGCAGTATGGTTTATTTTATTGGTTACGAAGAGTCTTGTTTGAGGTGGTTCTATGATAGAACCAGTGGAAGGCAGTCGGTTGCTTTGTTGACAGTCTTATTTTTTCAATTGTTGTAAATGAGATCAGAAGCCTCAAGTTATTGTTGGCATTTCCAAATACTCCAAATACTTCATGATCAATAAAACATTGTTGCCATGTACTTGGTAGGCTTATTTTGTCTACTTCTTACATTAAAATTGCCATTTTTTCCCCCAGCTGTTTACATAAAGATGTGACAAGTGTTTATCTTGAATCTTTATATACCATAGCCTATGATCATTAACATCCTCAATCTCTCTGTCGCTTCCTCTCTAACTTATTTCCACTGTTTAGAACTTGAAATGTAATGATGTTCAAGAAATTGATAATCTATACGGGATTCGATACCCATTTCAGAAGCAGCTTTGTCACGTTTATATTGATATAACTTATAAGCACGGTTATAATTAGCATAAACGTAGGAAATTTTCCTATTGTAATTTGTATTTGTAGCGTGTGCATATGGTACCTTCCTCACTAATTTGATTGACTTCATTCTCTGAAATCCCAAATAAAATAGAAAATCCATGATTGTTCAAAAGGATAAGAATCAATTCATTGAAGTGTAATTTTGTTGTGAGAAAACTTGCATTTTGAAGGTTCTATACCATGCCATATTCTAATTAAGAACATTGATTTGGAATTAACACTGGTGAGTTTGACTAATCTTTCCTTAGCCTTTTTATGCATGTTGTTCACTTGTTGTTCTTGGTCAGGACACGATTTCCTATCATCATGTAGACACTAACCAAACTAAACCTTGTGTCCTAATCAACTGGCCCGTCATTGTGCTCTGTCAAGGACTATATGTTTCGTTAAATGAAATAAACTCATATATTTTGTTACTACTGCACCCAATGTCGGTTTAAGCCTTCCCCTCTTGCTAATATTTATTTTTACGGTGATCATATCACTCTTCTTACCATTGCATCTACAAGTCTTCGTTGTATGTAACCAAATTAAATGCAATGGTTAATGTGTACTTATGAATATGTAGAAACAAACCATTGCATTTAATTTATAAAAGAGAGTATCATGGTTCTCATGGAAGAGTGTAAAGTGGATGTCATCCAAGGTAGTGAAAAAAATCTCATGGCCTATTACTTGACAGAACATAATATCACCTTTGTGGAATTGAGATGGCATTCATATATTGTAGATGGAAAATATGAGATTGAGTATTTATTGATCAATTATGTTCTTGTGGAGTAACTGATGTTATTGTCAAAAGATTTTTTTCTATATATTCAGTACTACATTAACTTGAGGAGTTAAGTTTGATTTCCCCCTCTGGTTTTGGGATTCAAAGGACTCAACTTTCTCTTTTGAGTATTTATTTTTTAATTTTATCTTGAGCATGAGAATTTACAATAAAGTTTTGTCCCCTTATAATTCTTGGGTCTTATTCATTCTTGTTATATATGATTTTTTTTTGTCATACTTTTGTTTGGTTTCTTTCCTTGTCATCTCCCAAGCTTAATGTTCTTTTAAGTTATTTTGGTTATGCATATTGATCCACCAACTTGACGACTTGTTCAGGCCAGAGCTCTTTTCTGTTTTAGCACAACAGCTTCCGTCAGCAGATATTCTTACTTCCCACAGGATTTTTATGATTCTCTTTCGAACTTTGAAGGAGTTGTCTACCAAACGTCTTGCTTCAGACCAAAAGAACTTTGCATAGGTATAGGCCATTGCACCATTTTGTTTAATTTGTTTTTCTATTTTTACTTCTTTTCATATATATTTTTTGGGAGGTGTTCTGCAGACATTCTTACCAAACAAATCCTTACATGTAGAACTCTGTATAGAATGGTAGAACTTCATCTTGTTATTTTTATTACTGGTGCAAAATAATATAAATAGTTCCTACAGACCATCTAATAGAGTGGTTAAACTTCTGTTTGACCATGTTTTCAAAATCTAATGATTGCAATCCAAAATCCAATGTTCAACGCAACCAACTTTGTTCTTTAGATATCATGCTACTTCAAGTACCAATCCCATATTGTAGGACACAACATTCCTGTACATCCTCAGTTAACAGAGGTTTGTGGCATCCCTGGATTTGTTAGGAGCTGGATGATCTAGCAAGATATCCGTGCTAGACATGCAAAGAAGCAAGTTTACAATGCTGTCTTTTTTCTGCAAGTCTTTAATGAATGTTCTTTTGGCAGATATCATCCCATTTCTTCGATTACAGTTGGCACCTTTGGCAGAGTGATTTGCAAACCATATTGCATGGTTTCTCCCTATTCTCTCAAAACTTGAGTTCACCTGCGACATGATGATCTTTACCTTACATGTGAAAGATGGCTTCTATGTGTAAAGATAATAAGGCAGTTGATAATTTCTGGGTTTCCTAGCGATGCAAAATCGATACAGGTAGTCTTTGTTATCTTTGTATTCTTTATTATTGGGATTTAGAGTTTCTTGCACCTGTGAAGTTTGATGAATCTCTTCTTGATATGGACAATCTATTTTGTTTCAAGGAGGTGCGGCCAGTCAAGGAGGTCTCTCCTGCTCTTTTGAATGCCATTCAGTCATTTCTTCCATACTGTGAGATTTCTTTCCTGTTTTTGTGTTCCTGTGTTTCTGGATTTTGTTCCTGCAGTCTCTTTCTCATTGTTTTAGTCAAAACATCCATCATTCATTTGTCAACAATGTATGGTCAT